AAATAAATAAATGGTTATATCTGTATTATTACTAACAATCACTTTATTGACAACTTAGTTCTTAGGCAATTAATTTTACAGACAGTTAATTCAGAATCAGCCGGAAGCACCCCAGAAGTTCGGGTGATGATCTACGAAATTGCTGCATATATTTTATCACTATATTAACCATTAACTCTTGTTGTACTTTCAAATTGTCACCTATAGTCAGCACCCGAACTTCCGGGGTGATCCTGAACAATGCCAGGGCACAGAAACGATTTTCCTATCATGTGATTTCAAATGTCAGTTAGCCAATTAAAAACCGAAATCAGGTGTAAGGTAAAGAAAATAAAACAAATTCACTTGCAAAATTTACGTGCATCACAAAATATAGACTAGTAATCGACTTTTTGGTTATAACAAAAAATCTTCCTCGCGCAATTTTACTATACTATAGCCTCAAACCTTAACTATAACCTAAATCCTGACCCAAACCCTAACGTAAATAATGTTTTATATGACACTGGAAAATCACATGACCGGGAAATTGATCCTATGCCCTGTCAATTTCGTGATCCTGGTAATTCGCAGACCAATTAATTTTGCAGACAATATATTTCACCGACAATTTTTTTTTATAAATTGTACTAACTTTAGTTTTAAACCTAACCCTAATGACAATGGCTAGTCTGTGAACTCAAATATTGATAAAATAACTGTCTATGAAACGAACCTAACTGTGAATTAATCGACTGCGAAATAACCTTACCTGTAAATTAATATTCTGTAAAGTTGTCTGTAGCGCAATTGTTTGAATGTTGATATTGCTAAATAAAGATATTAAATAAAAACTAAATAAATTCGATTTCATATATAAATTATTTTCAAAATTGGTGTTTAAGAATTTGAATGTTAACAAGCAGCAAACTTGGTATGAATAGCTAGTGAAGTGATTGTGGCGGTGCACAACCATTATAGCGATATTTATTAACCAATAGCATGAGTAATAAAATGGATAATTAAATTGTTCTCACGTATCTTCCTCGATGTGTTGCTCGAATATAAAAACAACATTATTATTAGCGCAAAATGTTCAAGTAAAATTCTACAGTGGAGTTTGATTTGGCCCGTAAAATAAGGGCAGTAATAATCCGTTTGATGTTGGTAACGATTTCAAAATCCATAATTGTAATGTAAAGAGTGAAACACGTACGTTCTTGAAGATTTATTTTTTTCTATCCAAAACTACTATTACTCAACGATTAAGCATAAATTTGCAAAAAAAAATCCACAACTTTGTGAATTTTCCCGTAGCTATCAAGTTACGGTAATTTTTTTTACAAATTTGTGCTTATTCATTGAGAAGTAGCAATTAATCAGAAAAAAAAAGCGGAATTTTCGGGTTTGTCACCACACTAATGATTGACAAAATGTTTGTGGCAAAGCGATTCGGCCGATAAACGCAACTCTGGGAAATGAAGAAAAAAGATATTTGAGCCACCATTTTCTATTTTATTATAAACAATCCACAAACTAGGAGAATGTATACTAAAAAAAGATATATTAAATAGTGAAAGGGGCTGATATTTTGTTATGTAGTGAAGAACCTGTAAAACATTTGTTACGTACATACGTAATTAAAAGGAATATAAGGCCTTTCAGGGGTTGTATTGTTTCCTTGGAAAGGAACTTACACTCAATCATCAATAAAGTTTAAGATGTAAATTGCTATGATACGTGTGTAATCAAGCAAGGGAAAATACCGCCAATAAAAGAAAGATTGCCGCCAAGAATTGTTAATTAAAGAGATCATGCCAAAATGAGAATGCCAAGAACTGTAGAGTACAAATTGATTCACACCCAATAGTTCTAGATCTTTTGATTGTGATCATGTTAAGCACCATTGTTAAATTCCGTTAATGATTTTTAATAGGGATGTTAAAAGTCCGGTCCAGTCCTGGCTAAGTCCTTAAAAAGTCTGGCCCTGAACTAGTTAGGAACTAGTTCATAATCTCAGTCTGAAACCGGTCTAAGCCTAGAGGTTTAACGTATAGAACAATAATGATTGAGCATTACAATTATCTGGATTGCATTGAATTCGTTCCAGTATTGTAATCACATTTAGATCTGTGTAAATTAGCAAATCGGACAATTTTGAGATCACGAGATTAAAGAACTAGCTTTGAACTAGTTCTGAACTGTCTCTAAAAAGTCCAGTCCCAGACCCGGTCCGAACTAGTTCATCGTGGACCACTTAACATCCCTAGATAATACACGTACAGTACCTACGTACATACCTTGCATATTTTTTGGAATTTCTGAATTTTGCAGTGATTAAGAGTGATTTCTGTGATTGGCTGTAATTAAAAAAAATTCTGTGAATCCTAGAAAATTATCAGATGACATAATCATCAAGGAATAAGAATTTATATAAAAAATCAAGAACATAAATTAATTAGTAAGTTTTTGAGTTAGAAGCCAAGTCCTTAGGTGTGGAATTATTTTTGTCACTCTCCTGTATAAATTTTTATTTAATTTTAAATAAAGGTTAAATTTTATTGGTTATTTGTTTTAAAAGTAAATTTCTTATTTTTTTTTTTTTTTTTTAATTTTAAAATATAAATTTACTTTATATAGTGTTTAAAAATATAGATTAAACTCAAGTTTTCTTGTTCTTGCTTTAAAATACAATTGGTATTAAGTAGACCATTTATGGCTATTAGCCTCACATGAAATACAAAGTGGATAAATAGCTTTAAATTTAAACTTTAAATTTTCAGAAAGCTTAATAATATCATCTTTTACTCTACACCAATAGAATAAATCAACATCTTTAATATGGCAAGAATAGTAATTTCATTCAATAGATGGACCACAAGTAAGGTTTTAATATATATAAAGTTGTTCAAAAAGCGCAAGCTTATCAGAAAGAATTGGAGACCTACAATTGTAACCGAAAAAGAATTTCACACAATCGATGTCAATCCAAGTAAGAGAATACAACGAAACGAAGGACAAATTTCATTTTTAAAGAAATTAATCAAGAGCGAAGAGTTATACATGAAATATGATTTCAAAATCATTCATGAACAATTAAGACGGTGGTATGTTTGCGTACCGATCGAATTGGAAAAAAGAAATCGAATGAAGGGATCATTGCGTTAGATCCTGGTGTATGAACGTTTCAAACAGGATACGATCCATCAGGATCCGTAATTCATTACGGTCGGAACGATATTAAAAGAATAGTTCGTCTATGTAAACGATACGATAAATACAAATCCGATCGCGATCTATCAAAAGGGCATGAGAACAAAAGAAAACGATATCGATTAAGAAGAAAAAATGTTTCAGATCAATCAAAAGATCCGTTGTTTGGTTGATAAATGCCACCATATGGGTTTTTTAAAACGAACCCTAAATGTAACCTTTTTGTTACGTGTATGTATATAAAAATAACTAACAATAGCGATAAAATTAAAATTTAATTTTGTATCGTTATTGTTAATTACTCCTTAAATTGTTTTTATATACATACACGTAATAAAAAGTTTACACTTAGGGTTCGTTTTAAAAAACCCAATTCCGAAAATTCGCTGATATGATAAGATGGCCAAGCATCTTTGTGATAATTATTCCGTAATCTTATTACCGAAATTCGAGAACCAAGAGATGGTAAACAGGATGATCAACTCAAAGATCGCTCGAATGATGTTGTCATGGTCTCATTACCGATTCCAACAATTCTTGATTCACAAAGCTCGGGAATATGTGAATTGTAATGTCATGATTTGTTCTGAGGAATATACTTCCAAGACATGTACACGATGTGGTAATTTGAATCGAAAACTCGGAGGATCCAAAGTATTCAAATGCAATCGTTGTGAATTAAAAATCGATCACGACGCGAATGGAGCGAGAAATATTTTCGTCAAATACGTGTCAGAGCATTTGTTGTTCTGATGTCGGCATCATAGGATCCGATGTGTTATTCAATTATTTAGTCTTGACTAACGTTGTTTACTCATGTTGGATTCAATTTCAAGGGTATCATTTTTATCGCAACAATAAATTATGTGCCACATTAAGATGCGCGTTAATTCGGGACGCCCATGAGCGCTAATGCTGAGAACATTTAAGTTATTTTTGAAGGATTCGATTTTCAAAATAACGTTCACGAGCGTTATTTCGCGTTTATATGGTAATTAATTGAAAGAAATCCGTTCAATTGCATTCCCATGGTTCTAAGCTGAAATTCTCCGATGCAATCATTAATATTCTCATTTTTGCTTGTCGGATCACATGCCAAACACCATACTTTAAACGAGTTTTCTTTATTACAATGTATACTTTTGACGTATTTAGGTTACCATTTTAATCATCGCCAAATATTATATATATATATATATATCATTAAAAATTTATTTTAATATTCACTGACCGAATACACGTAGAATGGTGTATAGTTAATACAGTAATAAATAAGTGTTTGTAAATATGAATCGCTTTTTTAATCCACAGTTATCTTTATACTCGCCCACTAAATTAAGGTGAATGGCGGCATACGGTATTCATACACTTATACGGCATATGGCATTTATACGGCATGCGGCACTTCTACTTATACGGCAAATATGCCTTATCGCCGTGATATTTTTGCTGGCGCAGCTACGTACCTCCAAAATTTGCACCTCTAATATTAATATGCACTGGTATATCGATATGTTGCAAAAAATTTTTTTTTATGTAAAGAAATACTATGATGTTATCTCTAACGCTAATACTGTAATGGGACAAAACTTTAATTCAAATTAGATTTTAAGATTATCTCGTTTATAGAGGTAATGAGCTATGGTTTTTGATTAGAATTTGTTAAACCAACAGCCACAAATTTTAAAATATCAGATACCTGTTACGTACGTAGCTAATCCGGATCATATGCACCCTTATCTTAATCGCACAATCACGATATCGATATGCAATTCACAATTTCTCTCTTATCTTGCCAATAAAAATAAATGTTATCAATAATATGTAGCCGCTCGTTTGTTACAAATTCTAAAGTACGAAAAGTTGTAATTATCGGAGGATCAGGATTTATTGGTAATACTTTATTTTATTTTTTTTAAAAAAAAAAGATATTAGAAAATCATGAATATTTGTTGCGATAATCGATAGGAAAATATGTAGCGAAAGTATTTGCTCAAGATGCTAATACTTCAATTCTAACGGGCGCACGACACTCAAAAATCGATGACCTAAAATTGTCGGGTAATTAATTATATTTCACAATTTTCTTTATAATTTATAATCGTTTTTTTCTTAAAAAAAAAATTACATATCAAATTCTTCCAAAAGGGAATCAAGTCCTTCCACCTATGAAATGTGACATAACTTCTCAAGATGAAGTCTTAAAAACATGTGAAGGAGCCAATATAATTGTAAATTTAGTTGGGATAATGCATGAAAAACCTCCAATATATACTTTTGAAAACGTTCAGCATTTAGGCGCAAGAAATGTTGCGATAGCTGCCAAGCAAAATGATGCGCAATTGATTCATATTAGTGCTATTGGTGCAGATCCTAAAAGCGAGGTTCCTTATGCTAGAACTAAAGGTTAGAAATATGAGCTTGAAGTTAAGAATTTATAGTCAATATATTAAACACTTTTTTTAAACTTAGGATTGGGAGAGGTTGCAATACGCGAAATATATCCGATAGCAACTATTATAAGACCAAGCATTGTATTTGGACCAGAAGATGATTTCTTTAATGTATAATTTTTGCACATATTATTTATAGGCTTCATCACTCACTGTTTCTCTGTTAATTAACGTTCACCTCACTTATATATAAATTAAACAGAGATTCTCAAAATTAGTTAGATTATTACCATTCGTGCCAGTTTTCGGTGGTGGATCTACGAAATTTCAACCTGTATATGTAGGGAATTTGGCAATGGCTGCTGCTAAAGCAAGCAATCAATCTCTCAAGTTTCAAGGAAAAGTTTTTGAAATTGGTGGCCCAAAAGGTAATAAAAAGTTAAATTGAAAATACAGTCATTTAAATATGTCATTAATTATATTATTCTACTTTTTTCAAAAACTTTTCACCTAAAAAAATTAGTATATACGTACAAAGAACTCATGCAGCTAACATTATCTGAATCAGGAATAAAACGTCCAATTCTCTCTTTACCATGGCAAATTGGACTTATACAAGGTTACTTTCTTGAAAAGCTACCAAAGAATTTGTTTACTATTACACGTGATCAAATCAAATTGCTTAAGAAAGATAACGTTGTCTCGAATATGGAAGGAATTTTGACTTTAAAAGATTTGGGAATTGAACCGACTCCGGCTGAGAAGGCAATGTTAAAAAATTTTATATTATTATTTATTTACTTTTAATTTGCTCTCATTATGTTAACAAAATTAATGTCTCAATCCTTATTTTGAATAACCAGGTACTATGTACATACCTTCGTCCATAATATGGCTCTAAATAAACGAATCCATAGATAGATTGGTATTAATAATAGGCACTTTAGATACTGTATAAAATGAGTTAGTAGAATGCGTTAAATATTTTTAGTGGAAATGAATACTGGATTATGCTTATAAAGATTAATAACATTATATAGTAATATTAATTCTGCTTAAAAAAAACTTTTTTTTTTTCCTAAATAACTTTATTTTCATGTATTAGCGTTCTTGAGCTCTGAAACATCTGTAGTCTATTCGATTATTTTTTCAATAAACGACGTGTTTTTGACGCGCATGAAAAGTAATAAAGAAAATCTTTTAATAAGTTTGGTATGGGTAGTTAATATCGTTTAAACATCTTTGGTTTTTTTTTATATAGATATTACATATCATAAAGCTAATACTAAAATCTGCTTTGGCACTTCAGCACTATCAAAAAATATATGAATTTGATTATTGTGTATTGTATGATTTGGATTTTGAATTAGGAATTTATATCTTAAAGTTTCTCACCAAAAACCTTAACAGCGTTTGGATCATTTTGCATAGTCAAATCACAAAACTGATTGGTCGACCCGTCATGCCTTATCATTTTTCACTCACACATAGCGATAGTACTATTACTACACTTCTTTTCTTTGTATTTATTTATTCCATTCATGTTGTGTTCAATTATCGACCGTCATTTCAGCATTTATGCATTCTGCATCGTCTCTTTGTTTTCGACACTTTCTAAGAATTAAATTATTTGCAACTGGATCTGATATAATTCGTTGACGTCAATTTCGCCGACAGTCTACCTCTATATGGTACTGTATATTAATAATCCAGACAAGTTTATTTAATAGACAATTGGCGTGGTTTATAATTAGTGTTGCTGGCACGAACTTGGTTATAACTACTGTATATTCTTGATTTTTTTTATATAAATCCTTATTTCTTGATAATTTTGGCATATATTTTTAGATTATATACTTGTATAATTAGCAAGTTATTTAATTTTGTTTTAAGGTTTTGATAAATTTGATAAGTGTTTGTTTTTTTAAAAAAAAATTTTAATATCTATTAATACAAAATTGATAAAATTTTAATATTATAGCAGAAGATATTCTTTATAAGATATAAAAACTTGATATAGTTTTGATTAATAGTTGATTAAAAAATCAACAAACCAAAATTTTAAGCTTCAATCTTTTTTATTAATTTTTTTTAAAGCTATTGAATCAAATTAGATAAACCTTTTTTCATTTAATAGAGATAGAGTTTTTTTATAAAATAAAAAAATCTAAGATTATTAAAAAAAGTAAATAGTTATTGTTTATTTTTAACTTTTTATTAAGTAATTGTGGATTTTTTATAATTTTATTTTTACAATATTAAAAAAAACTAATTAGATCATATAGTAAGTTTTTTAAATTATTACTGTATTAATCAATTATTATAAAACACATCTATAGTCAGTGTTGGGCTAGACAATTGGACATGGACATTGGACCACACTTGTCCAGTCCAGTTCAATCCATTGGACCAAAAAGTATTGGACAATAATATATAAATCAACATATAATCATTATTGAACATATTGGACTAGACATATGTCCAAGTCCAATGTCCAGTCCAGTTTAAAATTATGTTCAGTACCAACACTGCCTATAGTGTTTTAGCACCATATATAATTGTTTTTAATAAAACAAGTTTTGTCAAAATTCTTTAGCTAAGAGAAGTATTTTGATAATAAAGTTGTTTAAAATAATCAATAGTTTAAAAATTATTTATACAGCCTAACCTTGTTATAGTTACTCTTAATATAGTTACAACATTGACATGATCATACTATTTTTTAACTCAAACTAATATAAGACATACAAGTTTTGATTTTTATATAGTCACAACCTTTTATAATTACCAGATTCTTGTTTTTCAAGCTAGTGATTAAATTGAGGCTAAACTATATTTAAAAATCAATTATTATAAAACACATCTATGATGTTTTACATCTATAATAGATTTTTTTTATATTTTTCTAAGTTTTTATAAGTTTTGTATATAAAATTTTTAATACAAATTTTTTATGTTAGAGTTAGTATTAGGTTAGTATTAGATTAGTATTAGAGTTTAGAGAAAAGGTTTTTTAGATTATAAAATATTTTTTACTTAGAATACTTTATAATGATTAATTAGCCGGTTTTTGAGAAAACACATACATACATAAATATAAAACACTATAGGTGCATTTTACAGTAGTATACTCCTTTAAAAATAGATATCTAATTAATAATATTTTTAAAATTTAGAAAATTACTACTGGTGATTATCACCAGTTCTAAAAATTTTTAGAATTAAGGTTAGAAATTAGAGATGATTTTTTTTTATATAATATAATATAAATTGAATAAGATCTTGATTTTAGTTCTTGTGAGGTTTTTTACATTTTTGAGATATAGCAATACTGGTGATAATTACCATTGGTGATAAATAGCAAACTTCTAAAATTTATTTAGCTTTTTATTTTAAAGATATAATTTTTCTCAATATTATAAAAAAAATTATAAAGAATCTACAATTACTTAATAAAATATTTAAAATAAACAACAACTACTTGCATATTTTAATAAGTTTTAATTATCTTAATAAATATTTTATAGAAAATTTCTATCTCTATCAAATAAAAAAAGCTTGTCTAATTTGGATTAATAGTTTAAAAAAAAAATCAATAAAAAAATTGAAATTCAAAACTGTATCAAAATTTTGAATTTGGGTCAAAATCCTGAAAAACGGATCCCCGAAAGAACATAATACCGACAAAGTTAGCCGGCACTAGCTATAATGCTGGCCAATTTAGTCAAAATTGAATTAATAGATATTTAAAAAACACAGACACTTACCAAATTTATCAAAACCCTAAAAATAAAATTAAATAACTTGCTAATTATGCAAGTATATGATCTAAAATAACATGACATAATCATCAAGGAATAAGGGTTTATATAAAAAAATCAAGAACATAAATTAATTAGTAAGTTATTGAATTATAGGCCAAATCCTTAGGTGTGGAATTATTTTTGTCTCTCCAGCAACACTAATTATAAACCAGGCCAATTCTAACCTAATTTTTGTTGGTGAAATTGGTTAATGCGAAATAACTATGAAATAAGCTGTCGGTGAATAAATCGTCTATTAAATAAACTTGTCTGTGAATTATTAATACAGCGTAATTTTTAAGACAATGAAAAATATATGATTATTAATTGTCGATTCGCCCGAAAATAGCACTTTACACTATTTCCTGTAACAAAAGCATTTTTTATCATATAATTTTTTTTTTATTTAATGAATAATGATAATGTACTTATTGTAATTATAAAGGATTCATTAGAGATAAATAACAGTTGTTTTTCTAACAATCTGAAATACTTCATAATCTTCAACATGAAATTGTTCCAAATCAAAAATTCTTCTATCGTAACTTCTAGGTCTACAAAAACTAGGAAGAGTAACATTTTTACCAACACAAGTGACTTTAACCCATAAATCACCATCACCAAATGAGGGTCCGTGTGTATTTCTAATTGCTCTACTATAATTCAATACTCTACTAACAATAGATTTATTAACATTCGTTCTATTTAAAGAAAATATAAAACTATTAGAGGATTCAGCCCATTTTGCCGAATTATCCCATGAAAGAGGATTATATCCTCCCAAAATTTCGTCCGTTTCTTTAACTTTAATTATAGTAATAGTAGGACCTTTCATATCACAATAATTATGAAATAATTCATCTGACATACCACCATTGCTACCACGAATTAATAATTTAAGATTGTAAGGAAGTAGTTTTGGATTATTTCCATTGTAAGATGTAGTTGATTTATCGTAATCAACTTGCTTCATTATCCAAGCTGCATGATCATTATTAATTAAGATTGATTGAAATTGGTGATTTCTTTTGGGGGAACGTAAAAAAGGATGCGATGGATTGATTTGAGGAGCTAAATGAAATTTAAGTAAATCATCATATAAATCATTTGGAAGAATGCGTTGAAATGGTATAATCCTATGATAAAAATCACTTGATGAAATTACGGTAAAATTGATAAGAGGAATAAATTGTTGTAAAGTTTCTTGTAATTTTTCAAATGATTCATTTGACCAAATTGTATTATCTATATCGAGAGGAGGTGATGTATTAAACGTTCCCCATTCAATAAGTGCATCCCAAACTTCAATTTCCGGAGTGAGTAAGTTACTATGTTCTAATAATGCAACTAACAATTTTGGATCAGTGTCAGTAAAATCTTTGGCCTTGAATATTATATCTGGTGTCTTTTCAATAATTTCCAAACAAAATAATTGAAGATCCTTAAATGACCCCTTAAGAAATGCTGTTTGATAAATTAAAATAAAATTCTCTCGCATCCATGATTGATTGTCAAAAAGGTAGTCAATGATGTAATCGGCTAATTCAGTGAGACAAAGCTCGTCGGTGGCGATTAGAATTTCGAGAGTTACTAACATATCAATTGCTGGTAGATTAATGGTCGCACCATAAATATACCTTTTGAAAAACAATTTTGCAAATTTAATAAAGAATATTTACTAACGTTAATAAATCCTTAATATTTTATACTCACTTCAAAATAACTTCAAATGCTTCTGGTGAAATATTTGGTTTAGTAAATACAATATTATCGGATTCTTTTTTTGCCCAAGTATCCGATAATGCATTATGAAAATAAGTAGATCGAGAGCGTAAAATTACAGTATGAGCTTTGAAAGTTTTCGTATTGTCACCAGTACCGACAGTGATTAATACATTAGATTCAATTGCTTCGTCAAGAAGATGACATAAATCCTTAGATAATGTCTTCAACAATCCTGTCTTCAATAAACTATTCATCATTATTTACAAGAAAGTAGTAAAAATAAGAAATTCTTTGATTTAAAGGTTTAACCGTTTGAAGTATAATCCCGTAAAGTTTTCAAATTTATCGAATGTTTTGCGTAACTCAAACAAAAGTCATATGCTCACAATATCAATGACCACCCCCAAAAGTGGGGTCGTCTAAAGTTAGCAACGGTTAGCCATTGTTGAGATATTAATACCTTTATTCAGAGTTCAAAAACATGGACTATAACTAATTGACATATTGTTTAACCAGTCATTTGTATTTCTGGTTATTCCGATTCCCATTGATGTGTAATGCATTAAAACTTGCCGAACCCAGTAACTTGATACAATGTACAATCTATTAACTTTTAAACTTTACAAACACATAATTAGTGTTCAACCGCGGTTGGGTCGGTTACCCGGGTAAATTTATAACCAACCGGGTGGAGGTTAGCGGGTCAGCCGATGGATCAACCGGCAGATCAACCAACAGAGTCAAAAGATCCATTTGTATACAGTTAGATTCCGGGTTTCTTATTTACTATGTATATGTTGTAAGTGGGAATGGGAACGGAATAATTATACTAAAAATCTCAACCCTAACCTTAAAAATTCCGAATCAACTTAAATTCGGTTCCCACTTACGACATGTAATTTCTATAAGTTAACTAGCCAGTGTATCTTTTTTCCTAGTAGCCATGTTAATTTTTTTTGGGTATGGGTACAAATAATCATAACAATAAGTAAAACCCACATTTTAATTTACTAGGCCACTCGTATGTTGGCTACGGTCTACATTAGTTCTATGAACAAAGTATTGATTGACCATAAGAATATGACCGTTAGTATCCAAGGTTGGGTAGTCTGGCAAGATGCATACTGTCTTTTGAAAGAAATACTACCAAATTTCTTAGGTATTACTTTAATTTCGTTTATTACTGTATTAATCAGTATACGTAATACATTTTAAGATATAATATATTTTGGAAATAAAAATAAAAATTAAGTTTGACATTATGAATGAAGTGTGTTTGGTAACTCACATTTTATTAAATAAACTAGTCTCTAACCCGGTGCGTAGCACCGGGCTTTAACATTCTTAATTTTTTTTATATTCTTTTAATTATAATTGATATTTATTAGCTATTACTTTATATTATTTTAATATTATTAATTTTTTTTATATTATTTTAATTATAATTGATATTTATTAGGTATAAAAACTTTAATAGCTCTTAATTATATTCATTAGCAACGCGCAAATAAACAATCTCTATAGACAATAATCTTAAAGACAATACAGCTTGTATTCTTCGTTACACTCAGTAATACTGACAGAGCTCGCTTTGCTCACTCTGTAGTCGCTTGCTCCTCCGGCTTCACTCCTGTTTTATAAAGCATACTAACTCTAACACTAACCCTAACCCTAACCCTAACTATTTGTAATAGACAACATTAGTAGCAATAAATTAACCCTAACCCTAACCCTACCTATTCGTAATTGACAACTTTAATTATTTTTAGTATATTAAATTTAAACAATAAATATTAATTAATACTATTATAAAAAAATAAAGCTTTAAATTTATTTTTAGTATATTAAATTTAAACAATAAATATTAATTAATACTATTATAAAAAAATAAAACTTTAAATTTAATATGCTAATCTGGGCCCCATTGGGGCCCAGATTAGCATATTAAATTTAAAGCCAGATAAATATTTTTATAAATTATTATAGTATTATATTTATAAATTACAATATTTAAATAATTATATTTACAAATTAATATTATATATTAAATTATATTATTAATAAAACTTTTAAATATATACA